AAAGGCACCTGAAATACCAATGCTGCATCATGAAAATAGTTTCTGACTTACATTTCCATATCCTTTGGCCATCTTCTTTGCTTCAACTGCCAAGGCAGCTTTGGTCTTTGCATTAATGCCTTCGGGAGACACCACAACCATTTTGCGTTGCTTTGCTGGAAGCTGGGAAAGCACATCTGATTTAAGACGTCGTATCATGATGGATTCTTCCAGTAAAATTTTCAGTTCAGCTAAATTGGATGATCCAGAGTAGTCCCAACCCCACGGCATCTGGGAAAGACCAAAGCAGTTATGAGCGTCAAACTCAAGAGACTGACCCTCCTGGTCTGCAGGTGGAATAAACTTCCAGAGAAAACAGGATAAAGAGAACTCGGTGATCAGTAGGAAGAGAGATTTGGTAAAATTGGTGGTAAAACAGAAGGGTACAAACCCACCCAACAAGAGTAGGCTACTTGGTTTTGGACAGGAGACCAATAACGTTTTTAAAATGACTTAAAGGATAAAGAGCAATCTTTTTGCTGAAGTTTCACAAGTATATGAAATACAGCTACTATAATATTGAAAGCCAAGTGGGGGGGAAATTTTCATCACAGCTCTGATTCCAAGTCTTGCTAGCAGCGTCACCAAGAAGTACAAGTTCTGATCTTCAAACAATCCCAAGCAAGCAGCCCCTACACATTTGTACCTATAAACTCCTCAATGGCCTGTAACAGAAATGTGGGGAGCCTCAGCACGAACCCCTTTGATCTGCTGCTCTGTACTAATTGTACCACCTGAATTGCTAAAATAAATTTAACTGGGGAAAAAAATAATAAAAAATCTGTAACTCCTTTATTCGCCTTCCCCAAGAGAAAGCTGCTACGACATGGAAATTGAATAAAATAGGAAAAAGCTCTCAAGTGTTCACTGCAACCTCTATCCTTCTGTAGAATGGAGGAGACCAAAATAAAAAAATCGTACCAGACACACGGTTAAGCACTGCACTGACTGTATGAACGGATAGTGCTTTGGTGGAACAGGGGTGAGAACATGCTATGAGACAGAACGAGGAGGAATCAAACCAGTCACAGGCAATTAAGACCACTATGATATCTGGAAGCGAATAGTTCTACTTCACGTAGAGACTTAACAGGACAATCTGCCATTCTATGGCCATATTGTAGTGCTGTGAACCATCAACTAACTACAGTTTCTGGCACCTATGGTCATCATTAAAACTCATTTGACTTAATCTATTCCTACATAATGATGGTGCCTTCTGATTATCTGTAGTTGGTTCATTAAAGCTAGAAATAATTCAAAACGCTGATACAAAGCCAGACTGGGTCCCATAGAGTAGAGAATTTGGCTCTGAGAACAGCACCGCGGTGTAGAGCTAGAGGTAATAAACCCACCTGGATCTAAGCCAAGCCCTCAAGAAGCCAACGTGGGTATTCCTGCTCTGCTTCCCTGAAGCCAGGAGTGCAATGCAGGTCCCTCAGGTCCACGAAAAGCTGGCTCGAGTCTAGCTGGGTTTATTAGCTGTAGGCAGGTGCTGCAGTGAAAGCTGACAGGGCTGAGCCCCAGTCTCTTTGCCCCCTTTCCTGCCTTCAGGCTTCAGACTCAGCAGAGCAGATGTGCTGACCCAAGGAGGACCTGGTGCTGCACCCAGTGCAATAAGCTCCCTGGTCACACTGCTCAGCGCTCTGCCAGCGAAGGAAGCAGGAACCAAAGCTGAGGCTGCTGAGCAAGACCTGCTCTGGGACCTGGACACCTCCCGCAGGCTCATTCTACTCATGTAACTCATGTTATTCCCCTTTCCATTTCCCTACCAAACAAGCGATGCGTGTATTTTGCAGCCACGTAGCACAATTCATTTCCGAAGAGTAACATCACTCTGACTGAAAGAACAGGGCAGAAACGGAGCCAGTACACTCTCTGTTGTCATCTCTGTAGTACAGCCAGGCAGAATCCCAGCAGTATGTTCCTATAAGGTGACCGTGCTGCTGGAAATTTGCAAACAAGGAAAACATTCTAGTTCTGTGCTGCACCTAGGTAATGAGAATTATTTCTTGGAATTGTTAAAATATATTTTAGTATGCACTGTGATGAAAAAAAAAGAGAGAAAAAAGGACAATTATTTTGCCAAAATACACATCTGGCTTTGATCCATAACATTCCAGAACAAATGCATCCAACTGTGATTTTCTTACCAAAGTGTTACAGCATCTTACATGAGTCAGTAAACTTATTACAGTGTTAGCAGACGCTGCCAAACTCTTACAAATTCAGAGCATGTGCTCAGATAGAAATTATTTAATATTTGCCAACATCACCCAGTTTGAAAAATGAATTCACAGCATGTATTTTGGGAAACAGACTTGAGCTATTTTGTAAATAAGCAGGTGACATTTCACTTGCTGCATTTTTAAGAGTATAGATGCTGGGAGGTTGAATTGCAAAGTGATAAACTTTTATTTTATATCCTTCCTAATCACATCTGCCAGGTATCTGCAATTTTCTGTCACGAAATCTATTCTCTTCAACCAGAAAGTTGTCAGGTTTTGGTTTTACATTGAATGATTCAGGTTTGTCAATTTTTCATTAATCTTCTAATGCAACCAGATTTACAATTAATACCAAATTTTTTTTACAGAGTACCTTTCATGCTGACAGATCTCCAAAAGCTTTGCAAAACCTCCCTGGTTTTGTGCCACTCCACCCTGCTTACAATGCAGCCACTTTCAGGGCAGAAGGAAGAACCTATCTGAGTAACGCCAGCAAAAGTACCACAACAGTTCTTCAGAGAGCTTGTAACTCTTAACACAATCTCAGGCTAGAGCTGCAAAAACAAACATGAGGGACATACTGCAACCATGAGGGAAACACTACAATCATCAAAACACCTTTTAGTTTACTCAGAGCTGAATGGATTTTCAGCAACCTAATACGCAGCAGTCCTACTTTTAGTTTCGAATACTATCCACATCTCTTCATTTCCAGCAGTCCCACTTCTGGTCTAAATAAGCAAATTCCTTCTAGGTTCACGGTATCATTTACTGCCATTAACTGTAGCAGAAGTCCCAGGTGAGCACTGAGAAGACCAGTAACGTTCAACTGTCTAGTAGAGGCGGGTCAGACAAAAACAAAATTGTACTAGAAACCCTGCAGAGGCTCTGAAGGGGAGCTGATACAGACTGTGACCTCCATGCTGAGTTCCATTGTAGGCTGAAAACTCATTTATACAGAATACATTGGTACAACCTGGATCGTGCAGAACAATTTTATTTCTTTTATCCAATTCCACATCTTACCTGAGGTCCATATGCCTTGTAATTGAAGCAACAGCAAGTCATGCAGAACTTTACCCTCAAAGGGTTTATGAAACTCCAAACCTATTTACACTCACAATTCACCCTCCCTTTTACTGCAGAAAGCCAACAAGATTAAACTGCATCTTTTCATTTCCCTCTAAAAAGCACACTAGACACTGCTCAGACAGGGATCTCTCAGCAAAGATAATGAAACTCAGTAGAAATTGCAGCCTTCTGCCTCCCATCCAACTCTTACTATGGATGGAGAAATTAGAAGTTCCAATCCTCTGCCATGAAAACAGAGCTTTGCTAACATGAATGCTGTTATGTTCTCATTCTCTCTCTCTGTATATATATATAATCTATATGAACTTGGTTTGGGTTGGAAGGGACCATGAAGATCTTATATAATTCCAACTCCCCTGCCATGGGCAGGGACACCTCCCACTATACCAGGTTGCTCAAAGCCTCATCTCCTGGCCTTGAACACTTCCAGGGATAAGAGAAGTATTCTTACAAGTACTCCTAGAAGAGAAAAACACTTCCAGATAAGATAAATTAATTTATTTCCAAGTTTTGTTGGGCACCACATCCATTTCCTGAATTGGAAGAGGTGGAATACAGATTGTCTTAATTTTTTTACCTAGCTGGAGGCATGAAATCCAAAATCCTAAGCAACAGAGGCCTCACATTGTTAGAACAGTCACTAAGCCAGACCAGAGACTGTTTTTCAATCAATTAGCCAAATCCTAGAGCTGTTTAAAAGGCCCACAGCCACTCTGCCCATTTAAAGCTGTCGGCAAATTCTTGTCAGAACAGGCTCCTTTCCCCACACTATGGCCAATTCTGCTTTTAGCTTTTTATTTCTGTGCCCTTCCAGGGCAGCTTTTGACAAGAAGCTTTACTGCCTCCATATCTCAGGCCCACGATTTATTTGCAGCACCTACCGTTTCTAAGGTTGAGAGCTTTCAAAATACTACTTTGGAGTGAGACCTTCTCAAAAAGGGCACATAATATCATAGAGGGAAAGGAGGGAGAGAAAAAAACACTACTGCAGTTTAAGAAAATAAAACAATAAACCAAAATGCTGTCTGAAGAGTCTCGCTGTCACTTCCCCAGCACCCCACTGAAATACCTGCTTCGCATCGCAGTAGCGGAGCCCGAAGGTGTGGAACTGAGGGAAGAAGTCTGGCTGGACAGCCGCGATCTGCGTGTAGAGCTCCATAGGCCGGGACATGGCAGGGGTTCCCGAAAGCAAGATCACTCTCCTGGCCGCCTGGAAAGCAAAGTGGAACATCCCTTATCAGACAGCTCACGAGAGAGGCAGCACCTGCTAAGAAGTCATCCCCGGCCCCAAAAGCCATCGTTCAGGCACCCTAAATGGAAGGGTGTTTCACCTTCCAAAGCAGGACAGCCTGCAGCACGTCTTATTCATCATCCACATGCTGGAAGGGAAGGGGACATCAATTTTTATGACAGTACTTTCCGAACTGGCATTTAGGCACAAGGCACGTTGATGCCTTACGCCTGGCACAAGATTTCATTTGGCACCAGACGCCACAGGAGCATGACACACACCCCTCGCAGGTACATCCTCACCTCCAGAATAAATCCTCTTGTAATAAACCATGCCATAAACAGACCGTCTTGCTCACAAAAGCAGAAGGCATCTAAAGAAGTAGGATTTTTCATTCTGTTAGTTAATTGTTTTTTTTTTCTTTTTGATTTTTTTTTATCTTTTTAAGTTCTATTAGCAAGAAGAGATAGACAACGAAGAAAGTTCAGAAGATGTCTACCTAGCAGCCATGGCAAAAGTCACATAAGAATACTGTAAAAAAACAACAAAAAGCTTTGTATCTGATACGGGAGGGGAATAGACAAACAAGCCTCACACGGTATCTAAAATATGTGCTCCCAAAATTGAGGGAAAATTATACCACAAACAAATGCCTCCAAGACGCATTTCTAGCCTCTTATGTCCAGTATTATCTAATTCTATTATTAGATGTGAGAGATGAATTTCTCCTGCTGTAAATTCACCTATAGTAGTTAAATTACAAATGCCCTGTAATTTCCTGCATGGTTTAAAGCAGGTTCATTAAAATAACAAAAGGGATTCTTGAGTGACATCTGTACCAACAGCTCATTCACATTTAAATGAAAAAGAAAATGAAATTCTTTTATCGTTTCACCGAGATCTACCAGTCACCCAAATCTATTCAGCTGATTCATCCACTCACCAATCAAAACCTGGTGGAAAAAGTTCACAGATCAGCTACCGGAAATTAATTTCAGGACTCTATCAGATATATAGATATAGGTTGTAATGAAGGTGGGGCTTGCCTTCTCCCTCCAGCCCTATTAAACATGTCAGAAGGCAATGCAGTCACCAAAAGGATCAGACAATTCCCACAAACATTTTTAAAAAGCAGGATGTTTATCAAACTAAATAAGAGGAGGTGTCTAACCTTTAGACATGTCAGAAGTTTAAGTGTTAGTTCACACAAGACAAAGGTCCCTGCTCTACTCAAAGGGGGTAGGGGTGAGAGAACCCAAAGATTTCAAATCCCATGAGGCAACAAAGTGATAAAACAGAAATTGGGTCAGTTTTCAAAATGAAGGTAACAGTGGAGGACAACCAAGCAAAACCTAGACCATACCCAGAGCTTTGCAGAAGCCTTTGAGGAGTTAACTGACACTTTGAGGAGTTAACTGAGGAGTTAACAGCACCGCTGGGACACTTCCAAGCAATGTGCATTCAAAACAAGCCCAGGACATGCTAAACATAACGTAAAATCAACTGTGTTGAGAGGTCTCACACCATTCCCAAAACTCCCCCTCCTTGGAGGGGGCTCCTCAGGAGCTATGGAAGACCAGGTTGGAGCACTAATTCCCCAGTAGTGAAATCAGCTGGGCTCCTTGCTCCTTCTCCAATCCCAAAAAAAGGTACCAAGAGAGGGAATGATAAAGTTCCAGGTTATCTGATTTTTAAACTTGTCCAATTGCTGCTTTTGTGTGCAACATATTTTTGAACAGAGATAGTTTCTAGCCACTGCAAGTGCTTACTAAGGGTTGTGATACCTAATTGCTAATCAACCATTATAAAAATCAAGTAAACAAACAAAAACAAGAACCACCACAAAAAAAAAGAAAAAAAAAAGAAAGAAAAGAGAGGTACAACCTAAGCAACAGCTGCTAAGAATGTGCAGAAATTAATTCCAGAAGTAGAACATAGGTGGTCTGACTCATTATCCCTATAATTCCCTTCAGTTTTAAAATCCATGACAGAAGAAGCCTAAGAGAGGGAAGAAAAATCCTAGGCAGAAAAGGTTTCAAGTGTTGAAGACTTTCTTAAATTCTGGATGAAAGCAACAGCTTTGATTCACGTTTCTTTTGCTACTGGCAACTCATTTTGAATAGATGCCAACAGAGATTTGCTCCTGTAGAGAAGTCTTTGCTGATCACTGCTTATTCTTGTTTTCTGATGAACCTTCTGTGGTGTCAAAAGTGAGTGCTTACCCTCTTTCTTACAAGGTCTATCAGGACAACATGGATCAACAGCACAGAAAATACGAGCACAGCGAGCAGCAAAAACAGAACTGTCAGCAACTGATACGCATCTCCATTGACACTTCAGCTACTTGTTTGCGTTTAGGTATGAAAATAAATCTTCGACAGGAGCCCTCCTCTCTCTCGTGTCCCTGTGACTATTCTTACAGCTACTTTCTTATGAACCTGCTTTAAGGAACTCTGATGATGACTTGAAAAGGTGACACCTCTTCTGTAGCCCTCATTTACCAAGTCACCTAAGCCAATCGTAGCATCACACCTGCACACACAGAGAATACCAGCAAGAATTAATTCCACAGCTGTGATAACATTTACAAAAAAAAATTACTTTTGAAAGTCAAAGGGGAATTTATTAACCCTGACGGCACCTTCAAAACCCAGCACCCAACTGACTGGAAGGGGAGTGATTAGGGGGATGCTGGGGAGCGTTATGCCACAAAGAAGTAAGAGAACATGCAAAGAGCCTCATTAACATACAATGACTGTCTCTGTTTTAAATGAATTTCACAGCATGAGCTCTGCCATATGCTAACAGGCTGACAGACTTTTTTTTTTTAAACATAAAAGTATGGCTGGTTCTGGCTGTACAATTACTCGTGTCCCCAATTTTTGCTTACTTTGTAATTTTGAACTGCTTAGCATAAGAATGCATTATCTTGTGAAATGAAAAATCTGAGAACGGCCATAATATAATAGGGATAATACATAAAATAGAAGATTTGATAAAGGGAAAGGGCTGCAGCTGTTTTGGGGAGTCTATTTCTGTACTTGGGTCAGATAGTGCTCTGCATTTTATAAGATGATCCTAGAGTGGTCATTCCAAAAATATATACGCCTTTCCCTATTCTTAAGTGACACCCAGAAAGAGAATGTGTGTCAAATAGTGATAAATCACTGCGACTGAAGCAAGTTACACTACCTCCCTACTTCGAGACGGAAGGGAAATTGGAAGGTGCCAACCGATCTGGAGATGCCTCCACAGCTTCTGTGATCTCAAGATGAAGTTCTTCCTCTCAGCAGGTGACAACAAGGAAAGGCTTTTTTTATCCAGTCCACGTGGATTTGTAATGCCTAAAGAAAGGCCTAAAGAAAGCAGCTATTTATTCCCACCAGCGAGATTTTTCTGTTCCCTCCTCACCTTCTACCTTCAGCATTGATTTAATTCTCTTTCTTATTTTTAGGCATCTCTTTATTAAAACCAGCCCAGAGTATCATATTCCAGCTACACAATGCATTTGGACTTCTGTAATAGAAACAAAGACCTTTAACCCTCCACAGATCAGGATGTGTATCATGCTCTTAATCCGAGCAGCAGCTCAATACAAACAATTGCATGAGTAATATTATCCAAACGTTGGGGGGAACATACAGAGAACAACAAAAATAAGCCCATTTTATGCCACTGGAATCTTTGATTAAATACGACTACATGTTTCTCAGTTTCTAATGCTGTTCTTCACTGAAAACTTACTGTCATGCCTCCAAAAAACAAAAAACTCATCCATATTCCAGTGGAACCTTCCCCAGTTTCCATTGCTTTGTGATACTCCACGCAATTGCAGAACAAAAACAACACAGCACTTTGGCTGGCTGAAGGATGTAGAATCCTTTTCACCCAAGTTCCCAAGAGATCCCTCCACAGATCAGTGAAAAACTTCCATTTTGTTGTTTCTCCTTTCTCTACTTCCCTTAGGGCTTTGGTGCTTTATGGATATTGGTAGCATGTACACTCCCTCTTCAATCCTCGTGTCTCTGGGCCGGTGTGATCTCAAAAGGAACAAAATGCATACAGAAGACATAACACTGTGGGAAGCAGACATAGGACAGAGGTAAAGGGAACAAGTATTGACAGTATGCCCAGGAGAACTTAGTCCGAAGCATGAGACTAAAGAAGAGAGCAAGGTGACAAGCAGGGCCTGCTACTGCTCACCTGCTGTCCGCAAGCAAAAAACTTCCCTTTATCTCCACCAGGGTAGCAACTAAGTAGGTCATAAACGATATTGAATACTACTCAAAGGTTTGTTTGGTGGGTTTTGTTGTTGTTTGCTTTTTTAAATGTTTTGAAGATGTCTAGAAGTCCCCAGTTGACAGACTTAGGCCGCATGTTTAATACATGGGCTCTGCTTGACAATTCCATACCACGCTTACCCTACAATATATTCAACAGAACAGGGAAAGATAAATTATAACTGAGTGGTTAAAAATACCACTTCATTTTGAAAAATAATCAATGTCAGATATTAAAAGTAAAATGAGACTTTAAATGCTGTAACCATGGGTTAAATATTTCAAAGGCAGAGATTCAGCTTGGCTGTCTAACAAGGCAGATTCAAAATTAATACCCAAGGTAAGTCATCTTTATTATGAATGTATTGATTTAATCTGGTTATTGTGCAGTTCTGTCTAAACTCCCACAACAATTTTTATATTTTACTTGTTATTCAAATGGAGAAGTCACAGGAACAGATTCTACCAAGATGAAAGGAATTCATTAAGAACCACTGGAAAGGACAGACACATTTCAGGCACAGGAATATTTTAATTTATATCCGTCCAGCATCGTTATGGACTCATAAATCTTTGTAGCAAGTGAGGACAAAGGATCACATTTGTTTGTTTCTTTTCCCCAAAATTCAGCACAAGGCTAAGCTTTCATGCTTAAGCATGTTGAGGACCTCATAGAAAACAAAGGTAACTAAGAATTTAAGAAATTTTAGAGTAGTATGCTGCCAACAAGAGTTAGATTACCTAGACAAGGCATGAGTTGACTCCTCAGGTTCTTGTTACAGCACTGGCATGGCTTTGCACTGAGCCCTCAAGGTAGGGACTGATGTACAATGCGCACTGTGCCTCTAAATGGCTTGCTTTGGATACAGCTTTTTGGGTCTCTTCTAAGAGACTCACTACTGCTCCTTTTAAATGTAAGGAAAGCAAGAGCAAGAATTTCATCCTTAGTTCTCAAACTTCCAGCAACAATAAACTGCAGCCAACTTTATCAGTTCCTCTTATGCAACAATTTTGAAGTATCGTGTAATAGATACTGAAAATAATCCCATTTTTACCCCAGTATTCAGGTCATGAAGGCTTGTCATATCTTGGTTGTTCTTTCAAATGAAACGTCACTGTCACGTGCTCAGCATCACTCACTGGTAGCTGAGGACAAAGCTGCCAAATGGAGTAGTTTTAGAACAAAACACACATTGGAAAGTGAAGAGGGCAGAGGAGTGGCTATTACAGCAAATACTCACTCCAGAAGTTGTAGTCAGCAAATAGGAAAAGGCAATTTATGTGAACACCAAGCAAGAAGTGCCTCTAAAGGTTCTGGTCCTTTCTTATTGTATGCTGTTCATGGGTGAGAAAGTGCATGATGAGAACATGAAACTCGTAACGCTTTCAGAAGGGTGAAATTCAGCTTCAAGAGCACCAGATCGCAACACTGTCAGACCAGTGATGGGATAGCATAAAACTGTACATTCTCAGTAAGTTCATACAGACAATTAGCCTCCATTTAACAGGTACCATCTTTCATATCTTATAGCTTGCAAATAATTTTGATGAGCTGATCCTCGTAAAGCTACAAGTAGGAAAGGATAAGAAAACTTTCTGAGCATTCTACAATGAGGTAAAAATTGTTATTTTTCCATCATTTTTGGACATAAAACTTAACTACTGTACTTAAAACTGCTTGTAAAATTGGACCTCCTCCTGAGTTTGCAAACATTAAAAGCCTCAAGTGATTTGAAAGCAAAGAGAAGACAAGAGTCAGGCCTATAGAGAGAATGAAGAAGTTACCCAAGTACAACCACCTTTAACCTGCCATTAAAAATCTTGCATATAAAAGTCGGTTGCTGTAAAGCCATCATAGATCAAACCTTCTCTTTATACACACTTACGGATAGCTGTTGAAAAAGAACTGCATTTATCTTGTTCTAACGTACAGACTCTGCAGTGCTTAGAAACTACAGGTAACTTTAATCTCCTAGAGGCTACCAGGGACAATTTGATTCTTTGATTCGACACCAACAGGCAGAAATTAAAATTTACATTTCTCCTGCTATCACATACTTCAATATTCCTTCCCTTCTGTGGGCCACTTGTCTTGCTAACCTCCCATTCTGCTGTTTCCTGCTGGTTAAACGCAAAGAACTAGTAGGAGTGCTCTTACATGCCAGCCACACAAATTCAGTTGGAAGCTTGCAGTAACAAAGCAAAGGTACAAAACTAAAGCCAAGGACGGGACCTAGGTAACATCATTTTGATACACAGCAGCAATCTGAGTGCCAAGTAGTAACTGATTATGATTTTACACTAAGCAAGCTGCACTGATACGGCTATATTCTTTCTACTCTCCACTAATACATGTATATTCAGGAAATTTTAACATTCCCTTTTTCCCCATCACCATAAAACATCAGCGTCGGTACCACAATTAGATCAAGGGAGTTTCTGAAGTTCTTTTGTTAGTTTTTACCATGTAACATTTGTATTGAAATTAGAGGCTAAGATAAAGACAAATCTTGCTCTTGAATCAACAGTTACTCGGACTTCCACTGGTTCAACAGCAGAATTCAGCTGCTGGCTCCTGAACTGGTAAAAAGACCAGCACATGTTTCAGAAATCTGGCCTTAGCTGCTGGATGTTAGACACACAGCATACGTACCTTGAGTAGAGGCATAGCAGCTCGACATCGTGCAGTTTTTACGTTCTTTAGGTAATGAGATTCATCCTGAAACAAAACAGGAATTGAAATGAAGACAACTCTGATCCATAGCCCAACTGCAGGATAAAGAACAAATTCCCAGTGTTTTCAGATATCTAAAATATTAGAAGCTTATCCTTCCAGAGGAAATTTCAAGCATTGGCATAGTCGCATCAAATTTTAAACATGCAGACAGCACGTGGAGTAGCAGGCTTCCCACATTCAAACCCACAGTTGCACGCAAATGAAATGGAAATCAAACCTTAAAGCCATGAATCTCAAATGATCACAGGCAAGTGACCAGAGGGGAGGAGGAAAGGGGAGGAGAAAGAGGAACATCATCTTCACCACCGATGCTCATTTGCCCGTGTGTCCTTTAAATGCAGCAAACACAGGAGGCCTACACAGTGATACTTTCCTAACTGAAGGGTTAATGAAAACAACAAGGAAAAAAGAAATCTAATTAGGATCCAACTGCTCTGCTGATAGGGCTCACCAGGTGGATAATAGCCTCCTACTTGAGACATCACCCCCAAACAGGCTTCATTTCTTCTGCTATAGCAAAGCAGATCTTGGACACAAAATCTAATCGGCACCCTCCAAGGTACATTCTCATCTTTCCACGTCTGGATGAGCAAGCAACCATGCGTGTAAAGACAATACAACTGCTTAGCCTCCCAGGCACAGTCCTCTCCCTCCTGATTAACAAATAAGCTATGTTATTGGCCCCAGTCAGCAAAAGAATATTGGAAGTAAAAGCAGGAAACCTCAGCACTCAGTAGAGCTCCTAGCATCTGTAAAAACTTACACAGTGTCCATATCTGAACATATGAACACAGGAAGAACATTTTCCAGCTCAGGGTTGGTAGAAGGTTCCAGTGTAGTAGCCCTACAGTAGCCTGAGTCCCTTTACTGAAAGCAGCAGCCCACGTAAGATAATCTGCATTTCCACCCTGAGAGTAGCTTGGGGAGAAAAGGGGAAAAAATAATCAGTTCCCTCATGAGCAGTTCAGTCTCCAACCCTCTCTCCACACCCCCAACCCCCATCAACTTCCATATTCCCATCTGATGCTGAGAAACAAAAGGTCTGTTATGTTCCAAGGGTTATATTTTTGGGGACAGGTGCATCTGTTAACTGAAAGCTAGCCTGAGAACACGAAACACAGGAAGCTTTGTAGACACTTTTGGTCTTTATTGATCCAAGCTGGATTTGAAACACTACGTGTTTTGAATTTTTACAAACTGAAATCTAGAAAAATGCCTTTTACCATGGCTCCTAGGAAGGTGAAAGAAATGGATTTCAAACTAATTTACAAAAGCAAAGATACTTGTGACTGAAGAAAGCTTAATGCACACTGTCAGTGGAATCCAAACAAGGGGAGGTTTTTTTTGATGCTTTACCCACATAGGTGGCGTTGAGAGGTTATCTGGCTTACTTGATAAACACTGAAGTCAACCTGAAGTCCATTTCCCTCAAAAAGATACAACTCCAAGACTATTACATGGATACAACACACCTTACTCTCCAGCAAGGGACACACTCAACCACAATGGAGCCAAAGGTGCACCTTAAGCATTAAGACAGAAAATACAGCCTCAGGAATCAAAAAAGTTTCATAAAATCCCACTGCTTTTGCTCATGAAGAGATCTGTGATCACAGCCACAATTACAAGACAGTTTAAGTCCTAAAAAACCTCTGCCTCATGCTTCTCTGCTGTACCACATGAAGGATACACGACTTGCAACGTATAATTAACTTCAAAATTCCGGTGTACTTACAATAATAACTACTTGGAAAGTGTTCTTGAGTTGCTTGTCCATCTTGCTGAGGAGATCAAAGCTGATAATGTTAATCAAGCTCCCTGTTAGGTTGTCTTTGCCAGTCACGATGACGTTCGTGCTACCTGGACGCAAGGATGGAAGCCACCTGTGAAATGCCTGGAGGAGAAGAGAGAGTAATTTCATTCTGGTGCTCAAACCCTGTCAGGATCACAGAACCCATCACAAATTATAACATGAATGCTTAGAACAAGGACTCACCCCACCCACTATCGGACACGAGCTGAGGGAACAGAAAGGGTCAGCAGCATTCCCGTGGCAGCACTGCTAGTCATGGGAAGATCAAGAATAGCACAAGGCTGTAAGGCCAAATCCACCTTCCGCAGCCAGGAAGGCTCAAATTGATTTATTTTTGCTCCTTACTGAAAACAAAGTATGATCTGCAATAGAAATGGGTGCCACCTCCTCACGATATTACTTGCTATGTTCACAGACAGAGAATGCAGTAATTTCCAGTTCTCCCAACTCAGCAGGAAACTTAGGCTGTGAAGTACAAACTTCAGAGAGGTAAACATCTCTCATTACATTAATGTTTAATCCACGATGACAATAAAGCATAACACATCCAGACCAACAAAAACTCTTCCACTAGCCCTCCTTCTTAAAAAGTATACCAGAAAAAAAAAATACCATTATAACAACAACAAAAAAGGAAGAAAAGATCAAGCCAACACCACACTATCTGCTCTATGACAGCAAATGAATTTCACATGGTAATAGGCACTCAAAACAACCTCTTGAAATTCTCCACACCCCTTAGGAAGATATCCTTCTGCAAACCCATCTGTTAGGCACTGAGCAGCCACCCCTTCCCTTGTAAACCTGACCCCAGCGACACCAATCTCTCTGCAACATTTGAGTCCTGATGGCCTTGCTCTGCAGAGGACTGGCTGCAGCTCCACTAATCAGGATCTGGTCCCTAAAGAAATGTATTCAAGCAGTGGTGATGGGAAACATCTCTGCCTCCAGGCCCTTCACTTGCAGAAATCCCCCAAGCCTCATTCTTCTCCTCCGTGCAGCAGCTACATGTTGTAGTCAGACTGGCCAAAAACCAACAGCATGTGAGAAACCAACACCTGGCTATCAGGCACCTCCTATAAGCACCACAAACAAAATATGCCACCACATGGGCAAGGTTAGATTTCAACCAAAAAATACGTGGCTGATGCTACACAAACTTGAGTCAACGGCTGAAGCAGTGGGAAGGTATCTAGAAGCTCCTACTGTGCTGCTCTCTCCTTTTCTAAAGGTCACTTGCCTCATTCACACCATAAAAGTGATCCTATACTTGATGCTGAACTTTGCCTGTAACAAGGACTTTGAAATTCCCAGAACAGAAGATCTGAATCTTAATTTTAAAAACATAGTTTTGATGCTGAACTCCAAATGCAAGCCTGTAGCGCTTCTCACCTAAGAGTAACTTGCACCTTCTTGCTAGCTTCCTATTGCACCTTAAATACTAAGGCACTCAATGGCATGAGCCCAGATAATATAAAAATAAATCTTGCAGCTGAGATGAAGACAATTTCTGGCAATTCAGCTCTACAGACACAACAAGAGCTTCCATGTTAAACACATCTGTGCAGAAGTGAACTGAGGAGGTTACAGACCATAATAAACTTCACCTTCTTTCCCCTTCTGCAACGCATTTTCCTTAGACTCAGGTATTTCACATACTCAAAGCAGCACGGACAATTTTAAAGCAAACATCCTAACAAGTATCTCCCACAGTGGCCTCCCGAGGAGCAAGGAGGGCATAGGCAGAGGAAATCAAGCACTCAAGAAGAAAATCTTCGTACTGCTTAAATCTCCTGGAGCAGGATGTAGGAGTTTAGCTGCAGGTACTGAGTACTTCAAGAACCCAGGCCCCAGAACTCTCCCAGTGTCTCCAACAGGAGCCCTGAATCCAGGTTAGGCGTTGAATCACAAGTCCACAGGCCTTTGAAGTAAATCCTTTTCTTTCCCATCCGAAACACGAGGAGCATTACTCCCGTGTTCAGTTTTTTTTTTTCTTGCCACCCAGTGTTTTGTTGCACTACTGGATGTGAAAACACAAGCCGAGACGCTCTAACAACCAGATTACAGAACAACGTGAACAGAAAAAATGTAAGTAAATCCCCACCAATCTACTTCTCATCAATGAAGCATCACGGGGAAGACTAAACTCCCACCCTCTCCATCTCAGACATAAAATTACAAGCTAAAACATCTGGCTTACATTTTTCTCCCACAATGAGCATCTCACTAGCCTATGGCAACCAAAGAGCCTGTGTCATGACTGATTTCTTTCAACAAATCACATTTCCCAACCACACGAGCTTTGTTGAGCTTCTGTTTAACAGTGATAAAGGGCTCCGAGGACTTAGCATCACACAGTGGACATGCTAAAAGCCATGTTATGACAAACATTTAATGGTGATGATAATGGGACCTCTTGAAAAGAAGGAAGAATAACAAGAAGCTCAGCATCTAAGTCCTGCTATAAAGGAATTGAATACAACAGGCAGTTCCTTCAGTGCAACTATTGTCTTCGGCACTAATGAGTAAAATGCCTCCTTGGAGCTAGCTGACTTGCAGGAACAAAGTTAACAAAGGCTCACAGGACATATTTGCTCTAAATCTCCATCTTTTCAATAGATCAGCTGGACTGCAAAAAGAAAATCAGCCAGCAAAAGGAAGCAGGCTTATATCACACAGTCAATGCCAATGCTATGCAATTTTGCCCATCTTAGGTTCCTAAAGAAGCATGGATTTTGCCTTCTTACCCTTAAAATCCATCTTAAAATTTTAACTTGCACAGACTGCAACACAGAATAATCACCACACGTGCCCTCTACTGGCCATCTCCGTAATGCTAAACTTACAGTACCTCTGCCCACGTGAACCTCACAGAAGAAGGAGTCACCACCAGCAAGGGCCATTCCTTTCGGTAATAGGCAGCGACGCAGATCGCCTGGATGGTCTTGCCCAAGCCCATGTCGTCCGCAAGAAGTAAACGGCCATTTCTGAAAATTGCAAAACTGGGGGAAATAAGAGGCAAGGAATGGGTTACCGTCTCTCCTGGCATCCAAGGTGAGCACAACTCAACAACTGTCTGA